AAACCAGGTTTCTCAGTCTTGAAGACTGGGACAAGAAAGCAGAAGAGAAGCGACTTTTCCATTGTTCGAGCCTCATCCAGTGTTGAGAAAGCTGGCTGCTGGCTGTACAAACCGAGGGCATGAAGAGAAACAGAATGTGCTTGATCATACGAACATACTATCACACCGGTAGTGTTCATTATGTTGGGGGTTACGGCCTCATCCAGCGCAGCTTGGTATACAAACGCCATTTCTGGCCTACTCGAAGCGGGACGCCTAAAGGATGACATGTTCGTGAGGATCTGGAAACTACACCGACATAGTCCTCTGCCATTTGTGTAGAAAAAACAGCTGGGTTCAGGTAGTACAGTCGGTCGCTTCGCAACCTGAGGGATTCCTTTACGTGCAACACGTAGTGATATTTAGGAGTCAGATTGAAAAAAATCAATCCTTTTGAAAAGCACATGGTCGCACAGCTGTGGTATTGTCGGGCAAATGTTGTCAAGTAGTCGAAAGCGATTTGGCTTTGAGAAGCCTTCAGAAAGATCCGGTCTGCAGTGTAGCAAAGCCTCAAGAAATCATCCATGGCTTGAAGCCAGGCCAAAGATGCTTCTGCAACTGCATCAAGAAGCCACGGTTGTCCCAGATAGTCCAAGAGGAACTTCGTCAGCAAAACAACATCTGAACCTTTCCTTAGCCAAAGACACGCAGAGTTTCAGCTACAACAAGTTCTTTCGTTAGGAAACACGTACCGAGAGTACAAACGCGCATGCCAAACTTGCGTAGAATCATTGTGCTTTCGGGCATATAATTCAGGCTGTCCCAGCCCATGTTTTCACGTGTGAAATCCTTGATATGGGGAGTTTCGCCCAAAACGTTGCGAGCAAAGCTTCGGAACAACTCGTATGCGTAGTGCAACCGTGCTGGCATGCTGCCGCGGCCAGCACCAGAAAAGTGGCCGACATAACACAAATAGCACAGCAATGATACCACACCAGTTCGTAGTATCCCCAGGTGGCACAGATGGAATATATCATGCACCGCAAAGGATTCATTGAAGCATCCCGGGATCTTCAACAACGGGGATGGGACAGTCCAGGGCCTTTCTTCCCCCACGGTTGCTTTCCAGGCCGCAGACTCCCGGAAATCTGCAAAGCTCATGTCTTTGTCGTCAGCAAGGCAATGCGGACAGCAGCGGTTCGGGACACAATTCCAGTGCCGGGTAAAGTGCATGAACCTTGCCTGTGCTGGAAGATCTCCTTCCATGCCTAGAAAAGCCAGATAAAATCTATCTCCATTTCTCCTGGGCATGCCAATAAAGTATGCTTGCCTGCAATGGTTGGCCATGTGGGAGGCCAGCTGATCTAGAACAGAATTTCCACGCTCGTAGCCCGCATTCTCATCCTTGTAGGCCTCGGCAAGAATGCTCGTGAAATAGAAACAGTGATGGGCACTTCCTGGCTGCGATTTCATGACTGGACCCCAGCTCATTTGCATGACAGCATGTTTTCGGTGGGATGTTCCTTCATCCATGTGAAGCCGGCAAGGGATCACCTTGTGAAGTTCATCGCCATGGTCCTCATAAACAGGGTGATCACTTCCAACATGCTTGTAGTTCTCCCAGAACCCAAGCAGTGTCTTGTGCACTGTTCCCACGTCTTCTTTCTTTTCGAGCTTGTGTCCAAAAAGGAGCTTCTCTGGAAAATCTGTCAATATTTCCTCTGCCAAGGCCCGGATGGGCAAAATGTACTGCTTCGCTGCTCCAGACCGGAAGTTTAGCTTAACCTCCTCCATGTTCGTGTTCAAAGAAAGGCCAAGGCTCACCAAGTTCCGAACGAAAACCGATTCCTTGTCTGATTTGCTCTCATGTGCAAGTCCCAGCTGCACCAGCTGCGTATACCCCGGATTGCCGGGAACCATCGTCCTGGCTGTCTGCCAGGCTGATTGCGAAGCATCAGCAGCACCATGATCCTCGGATGGAGGGAAAAAGCAGCCCCCACCACGGCACGGTCAAAAGAATTCGTGTTAATGCCGGCTGGGAACCAGGTAGGTCTCAAGGATGTTGCAGACCACAGCAGCTCCTGCGTGGGGATGAAAAGCAAGAAAGAGAGAGAGGTTTTCCGTGTGTGCGGCTGAAACAGAAAGAAAAGAGTGCAGAGATCCCCAATAATCGAGTTGATTGCAGCTCTATGGTTGATGGAAACAGAAATATTTTCATCAACCATAGACACTGAATCCATGGCCATATCACGCATGCACATATATATTTCTTATTTTCTGCAACTGCGCACTTCCCCGGTCGTGCGTCAAAGACTTGAGGCAGACTTCACGAATTGCTGACTTGCAAAGTCAGCATTGCCACTGCTTGTGATCAGTGCCACAGCTTGGCATATGAAAGGCAGACATGTGAAAAGCGCTCGAGGAGGCACCTTGAAGCTTAACTAACAACCCCAGGCCAATACTCCAGTGCTTTGTAGCTGCTATCGTGCTGTACCACCAGGAGACGCACAGCTGCACTTTCACTCTTCTTTGGTTTCCTTTGAAGCCTTGTTGACCTTGGGTTTCTTCTTGAAGTGAGTCCTGAGATTTCATATAAACTGAGATGCACTGTGGTTGTGCACGAAGCAGACACTTGAACACCACGCAAATGCAGAACCGAGAGACTTTAGGGCTGAGAGCTCGTTGTTGAACTTGCAGCCAGTGTCGCGGATCTCCTTGCAGAGTGCGTCGTAGGGGACTTTGGACCTTAGTGGACGTACACGTGTTATGGGTGCAACCAAAAAACTTGATCCTGAATGTCATAATGGTTCTTGTGCATTGTCACAAAGAAACAACAGCCAAGGCGAGCAACTCGTCGCCGCCACCTCGCACTTCGAGCTCGCCAAGCTTGCTGTACAAGGCATTCAAGCTGCCTGGGCTGACTATAATTCAACAACAAGATAATAGTGTCGGTATAGTTGCAGCTCAAGGGCGCATGGTCTCTTGGACCGGTTTGAAGTCGTCCCTGGTTGCGTGTATGGGGTGACGATGTCAATGACAGCTTAAAGCATGTATGTTGCAGCAGAAGAAAGTGCATCCAAGTGTCTCATGGCCACTGGTGTTTTCGGTTGCGATGCGGTCTACGGCTTCCTTGAAGGCGGTTCGCTTGTTGAGCAGGAATTTCTTGTACTTCTGCACAAACTCCTTGACGGTCTCTGGACCCTCCAATGTGGGAAGCCCCTGTTGGCGGGCTTTCTTTGCTTTTGCCTGTGCTGCTAGCTTCTCATCCTCATTGTCAGAAAGGTCGATAGCATCCCCGATGCCCTGGTTCAAGTCGAAGTTTTCGGTTAGGAAACCTGCATCCAGGCCGATGGTTCAGCAGCACATGAAGTTCGAGGAGACCAACATTCGGCGAGAGAGACCGAGGACTGCCTGACGATTCAACTAGCTCCTGGAGTTCCCGCATCTTTTCATTGCCTTGCCTCGACAATGCGCGACGAATTATTTCTGAGTAGCAGCTACAACATGTACTGTCATCAGTGCAATATATACCTATAAAGACCCTGGATTGTAGTACCTTCAGGTTTGCATTATTTTTATTATTACTACTATTATTGTGATTATTATTTCTATCATTACTAGTATTATTATTATATGCTTCGGACCCTATGATGCATGAGCTAAGCAGAAATAGTACTCCAATCCAGGGTGTGTATATATATATATGGTACATATACTCAATTAGCTAAGTGGCTCCACCCGCTCAGTCTTCAGCACCAGGTACTTGCGCACATTCTGGTACATACACTTCTTAAACAACTTGCGTTTTTCACATAGGGCCACGGCTCCATCGATTTTGGACCTAAGGATCGAGCGGAAGCATAAGAACTCGAAGCACGAAGCAGAAGAAGTAGCTCCCCCAACGATCAAAGTTTCAAGCCAAGTAGCTTTGGCCAGCTCAGAGCCTCCATTTCTTCGACAGTCAACCATTCATAATCGGCGACGGACTTTCTCCACTCTTTCGTCAGCTGCTTGAGTGTGTGATAGGCTTCCAGTCGGCCCTGCAACTTGTCAATCATGAGGCACTTAACAAAGTCTCAGTAGATAGGATAGACACCCCTCCCAAACTGTCCTTGTTCACATCCTGCGTAGCTCCCTTAATAAAGCACTTCTCAGCAAACTCAAGAACCAGCTTGGAGCGACCGAGGCCACCTGTTCACAAGCAGCACCCAACTTAATGAAGCAACAGCAACAGTTCGCTTTCACACATCATGGACAGACTGCTGCACCTTGCTGCCACACTTCCATGATCTCTGTAGTAGTTTTTTTCGCTGCAACCAAACGATAAAGAAAGCCCCAGGCTTCCGGATGCGTGATCGAGTTAGCAACCCGCTGTCGATGTGACAACCTAAGATGCTGCAACACAGCACTGACGCACAAGAACAAGTTGCCACAGGTAGGCACGTGGCACCACACATCCAAGCGCAAACAGTCTTTTCTGCCACAGGGGTGAAGATCCATAGCATGCTTGATCATCGGCACTATAGTCCTAAAAACCTATTGGCCCCTGTAACATGCTCTCACACAGGCAGTCAGGCTGCAGGAAAATACAGAATAATTTTTTTATGTGTATTATATATATATGCTTATACATATACATATACATATACATATACATATACATATATACATATATACATATATACATATATACATATATACATATATACATATACATATACATATACATATTACATATACATATACATATACATATACATATACATATACATAAATATATAAATATATATATATATTTATTTATTTATTTATATTTATGCTTATAAATTTATAGACATTCTAATATGAGTGCT